GGGGGCTGGGGGCTGGGGGCTGGGGGCTGGGGGCTGGGGGCTGGGGGCTGGGGGCTGGGGGCTGGGGGGGCTGGGGGCTGGGGGCTGGGGGCTGGGGGCTGGGGGCTGGGGGCTGAGGGCTGGGGGTTGGGGGCTGGGCGCTGGGAGGCTCACCGGGACCCCGTCGGTACCTGGTCAGTACCTGGTCGAACCGGTCGGTAACCGGTCGGTAACCGGTCGGTAACTGGTCGGTAACCGGTCGGTAACTGGTCGGGACCTCGAATTGCCTGTTTTTGGGCTCCGGACCGGGTACCGACACGGTCCCGACCGAGCATTGACCGGGTACCGACCGGGTGCTAACCTGGTACCGCGCGGGTATTGACCTGGTCCTGGTTGGGGTCCGGCACTTGGAGGGCGGGGGGGGTGGGGGGTGCCCAGCCCCAGCGCCCAGCGCCCAGCCCCCCCCCCCCAGCCCCATCCCCCAGCGCCCAGCCCCCCCCCCCCAGCCCCAGCCCCAGCCCCCAGCCCAGCCCCCAGGCCACCACCCCGCCCCCCCCCAGCCCCCACCCCCAGCCCCCCCACCCCCCATCCCCCAGCCCCCAGCCCCCATCCCCCAGGCCCCCAGCCCCCATCCCCCCGCCCCACCACCCAGCCCCAGCAGCCCCCAGCCCCAGCCCCCAGCCCCCACCCCCAGCCCCCTCCCCAGCCCCGCCCCCAGCCCCCCGCCCCCCCCAGGCAGCCCCCATGCCCCAGGCCAAGCCCCCATCCCCCAGCCCCCAGCCCCCACCCCCCAACGTGCGGTGGGGGGGGGGGGGTGTGGGAGAACAAAACAGGAAACAGTTTCGATAACAATCTTCACGAGGCTTGAGTAAGCCCAATATTTCTAGGAGCAAGTCCAAGATTTCTCAGGATTCATGACAAGGTCAAGCCCCGAAACTTGCAGGGCGGATCCCGGTTTTCAGCGATCTGAACCAAGTTTTTAATGTAATAAACCGCAGACAAATCCCAGATTTCAGATGAGTAGATCCAAGATTCTACTTAGACAGAACCCAGATTTCCGGCCACAAGACCGCAGACAGAACCCAGATTTCCGGCCACAAGACCGCAGACAGAACCCAGATTTCCGGCCACAAGACCGCAGAGAGAACCCAGATTTCCGGCCACAAGACCTGAGAAAAAACCCGCCTGACGACACCGACTTTTGGGGATATGTTAAGCATTATATGGACTATTCAATTTATATTCCTTTATTCTTGTTGCATGGCTCTTGCTTGCGCAATGTCAGCACATGAGGGGTCCGCTACGGCAGTGGACAGCTGGATGTGGGACAGTTGTCTAAGTGGGCCGTGTGCTTTTTGAGGTTCTAAAAACCGGGATTACTTACTTCGCTTGCAGGATCTTTTCCCAAGTCCTTTGGTCGTGCACGACGCTAGGAACTGTGACGGCCGACACTGGTCGCACGAGGTCTGCCGTGTTCGCTGGCACACTTGGGAGTATGCGTGGGCTCAGAACAGCGTACACGAGCCAGAGGTGTTTGCATATACTTGGACTGGCACATCATGCAACGTTTGTTGCTTGTGCGACAGGCGCAGCGAATGCATGTGCATTCTCGCATGTTGCACGAGGCCGCGCGTTTTCGACATTTTCAAACGTATCAGGCGATGTACGACTAGTGTGTCGTTTTTGGCATGCTGACTTGGGTCTCTCAAGCTATTTCCTTTTTGCCTCGTTTATCCTTTCTTGCCTCGTCAGCCACAGGCTTGCAGTCGAAACACGCGATGACATGCAGGAAGCGTGAGGCACATGATGCGAGAGGTGGTGCAGACTCTGCTCTGTTCTGGGTAAGGTAGATGAGGTTAAGAAAGCATGGTGCAGCTCACTTGGCAGTTGTTCAATATCAACCTGCAGATTGCCCAGGAAGAGAAGCACATCGAAGGCTTAAAAAACTATCGGTCGCTGAACAAGTTCAAACGAGCTTGTTTGAACATGTGCCTTGGCTGCATGTGCACTAAGCCCTTTGTCTGCTTGTAACACCGACATGCTGCCCACTCCGACCTGAGCTTGTGCAATGGGCGCGGAATGCCGTATTGTGTTGTTCGAGGGGCCGGCTAAAAGGCCCAAGCCTCCGTCGTATCTTTTTTTTGCTATTTCCTTTCAACAAAATCATGTTGTTCTTGCTTGATGTTACAGTTATGATGCCAAGGACAGCGTGCATGCTGGGTGAAGCAGAGGTCGGACCCAGCAGGCAACTCTTTTTGGTGGCTTGGCCCAAGTCATTGCATCTGCTGCTTTTGACCGGGAGAATGAGATCCAAACTAAGGCGTTAGACGAAGATTGCAATGGTTTCGTGTCCATGTCGGAGTTAGTGGCGCTCTCCAAGGCTGCAAATTTCAGTTGTGACATGGTTTGAGTGGTGCTAATGATGCCAATGGATTCGCAGGCTACGTCAAGTGCGACAAAAGGTGCGAAGGTGGGTTGTTGGTGCTGCAGATGTTGCCGGGGAGGGCCATCGTTTGCCACCTGAGCAGCTTGCCAGTCCATCAAAAAGAAAGATGCCATTAAGATCTTCAAGGCAGATGGCCACGAAGAAGCCATCCAGGACTGGCGTAGGCAGCCGTGGCACAAGAGAATCAGAGATGAACACCGGTAAGTCGTGGTTTCACTTCAGACGGCCAGCATACATCAATCCAGCCATGGATTGCAGCAAAGGATCGTTTGCACATAGCGAGTCGCAGGCCTCAGTATAAGGACACGCCGCGAACACACCATCCACGGTCACACTCGGGAAACACTCTGTCCGCAGTGGGTGGGAAGTGTGCTGCATCTCGCTGTGCATGCGTGCTCACTCAAAACTTTCGAACAGTGATGAGCCAAGAGATAAGTGGCAAGGAATGTGCACAACAAGGCACGCGCACCAGGAACAGATGTGACTTGGTCCGGTGACTCTGTGTGTACCTTTTATTTGATTCCGATGTGGACGAACCGAAGCAGCACACGAGGGCAGGACAGCAGATACATAGATACCATTTGGCATTTGCCACTTTGGCAAGGACCTGCGGTGTTTCCGATATGACAGAGCGCCATGTTAGCCTTCAGTAATTTACGTCTCTTTGTTTTGCAGCAAGCGGATGTGAAAATCCCGAAAACCCATGCCTTGGACTAGGACTCTGGCTTGGGCGGCACCTCATACAGTTTAGCGGTGTGTGTTTGTTTGGCTTGTTTAGGAGTTTGTCCTGGCAGGACTTTACATTCACCGAGTTCATTGCAGCTACCTTCAACCGCAAGAGGTGCATGACAGAGAAAGTGGGCAAGGTCATCTTCAACAGCTGCTGGGCCGTTATGACATGTTATGCTGAACGTTTCGTGACAAAATGAGCATTGGGCAAGCCCAGCAGCCGCATCAGATGGTGCTGGCTCGTCAGAAGAGTTCAGTCGTCGCAAAACTGTAGACGTTGTTGATGTTGTTGCAGGCTTTGCGGGCCATGTTTCAGTTGTCTTCACCGGTGTCACGCCTTCCACACATAGGCGAAAGTCAGCAGCTGCATACTGCTCGCATCTTGCGGACCAGTGAAGTGATGACTTTGCGCGCAGGTTCTTATTGTGAAAAAGGGGCTCAAAGGACTCGGGAGTAAATGCATAACGACGCACAGTGTGTCATGCTGAGGTTTTGACAAAAACGGCGACGGCTGCATTCAGTTGAGCGCCTTTGCATCATTTTGTCAGTTTCATCTCCTTGAGCAGCTTGTGCGGATCATGCGGGATCCTTGTTGCTAGATACTGCGTGACTGGGTGTTTGTTGTTTGGATCTGGTGAGGTGAGCTGGCTGAAGGCCCGGGGCTCACCCCATGAACTAGCCCCATGACTAGTTTGCCAAGTTTGCCGAATTTCTCAGGCAGGCTTCTTGGCCATCTTCAAGCCGCCGAACTGGTCTTCGCCTTGGTAAATTTTGGCAAGGGTATGTCAAGAGATTGGTGCATGGATCCACAAGCAGCCATTGGGTGCAGGTTCAGACGTTGAAGGATCTGGATCTCAATGGAGACGCAGAGATCGATTTCAAAGAGTTCATGACCATGTGCCGAGAATGATTTCTTCGAGCCCTGGAAGACGGATTCTGTACAGTTGTGACATGTTGTGACATTCCTCAGCGCCAGAAGAAGGACCCCTCTAGGGGTTTCTGGATAGGCGGTCTCACGATTTGCTCTTCATCCCCCATGTTTCTCTGCCACATGGATGCGGTGGCACATCACGTCCACTCCAGGAAGGACGGTGCCTTTCTACAGAATGGTTCTGTCCCCCCTGGCTGACAAGTTTGGATTTTGAGACGGCAGTTTCTTAAGCATGGATTGGGCATTCGCAGCTCACCGGGCTGCCCTCTGTAGCGCGGCTGACAATCAGCAAGTTGCTGCAGGTGTTGTAGCGTCAACGTTGACGTGCTTTTCAGGTTCCCACACGTAGACTTTGCACCCAGAAGGGCTGCCAAAGTTGAGAGAAATCGTTGCATGCTCCTACGGCTTTGAGAATGATGCAAGGATCTCAAGGCTTACGGATCACACTCTGCCCGCAAAACGTCATGTCTTCTCTTGTGGCGGCACCAGTCCATGCGTTTCCTAAGAAAGAGATCCATTGCATAACAATGTCTGCAGGAGCTTAGGAGACACAATGTATGACACAATGTATGCTGTGGCACGTCCGGCGGAGTAAAATGAGCGAATGGGTCTGAATGGGTCTGAATGGCTTTGGATGGGTCTAGATGGGTCAAATGGGTCAGTAGTACCAGACTTTACCCAATTTTCCCAGTTTTCCCGCTTTCGGAGGACACATCAAGGAACACCAGTGCTTAGCAAGACAGACGTGCGCCTTGAATCAGACAGGCGAACTTTCTTCATTCCTTCCTTTTTTCTTTCTTTCTCTTTCCATCTGTGAGTATGCAGGAGTTTTACAGCTTCTTGGTGGTCATGCCGGGTAAGTACTGATTTGCAAAATGTGTTGCACGTTGGCGTGCATCGTGGCGCTGTGGCCAGGTTATGTGGCTCTTTGTTGGATGTATCGAGGCAGAGCGCGAACACTGTGTTTGCACGCTGCAAGCAGGGATGGCTATTATCTTTCGCACGCATGTTCTCGAAGGCGATATGGCCGAGAGCACGCTACCTTGCCCTGAGACTGCCTGAGCATGATTCAGTTCACGTGGTGTGTCGCACGCACTGGTTTAGACACATGCAGCCAGGCTAGCTCGATTCATGGTCGGCCTGGTCGTTTCTGGTCAGTCGGTCTGTGTTCATTCTAATTGCATGTCATCTCATCAGACGTTAGCGTATACAGCCTACTCTTTCTTGACATCGGCCAGACGTAGAAAGGGTGAAGGCCCACCGATGTACCCGGCAGCTGACATGTCGCAACGCGTATGATAAGACTGTCTCGGACTATCTCAGACTCTGCTGCTACAAGCCTTGTTGCACAAGACTCGCTAAGTTTTTGTCCAGGTCAGAGGCAGTGATGCACTTTGAGGCTTTCGTACGACCGCAGGCCCTGCTTGCCTTTGTACGCCTGGATGTATGTTGCTCGAGCGAGGCATGCGTGCTTGTTGGACACTTGAGGCAGATCTTCGGATAGAGGCAATGCGGGGGGGCGGCAGTTGCAGCGCTGCCATGCCTACACTCGAAACCTCTCCCAGATTCTGAGTTCGTCTACGAAGATCGGCACGAAGCTGACATACAATTAAATTGCTTTACAGGTCACTGCAGTGGGGCTTAGCCGATCAATTTCAGTCCAAGGGTGGAGACACTCTGTGTGAGGCCGATAACTTGGATATCTTCAATGACAACTTCCCCTACCGCCGCACCGGTAGAGGGCACCGCGTCGTCTTCCCCGAGGCCTGCGAGAGTCGGGAATGTCGGGAAAAGCGTCATGAGGTGTCTCTCGACGTGTTTCACCTAAGCAGATGAGAGTTCTTTGCTGTGCGGATGCTTGGCACTGACGGTTGTTGGCCATTTTGACCCGTGATGCCGCAAAATCAACGAAAACAGCAAGCAGCAGTATGAATTCCAGAAAAATGTCCCCCAGCTACATTTCGAAACTTACGGCCGGTGTGGACATGAATCTGGCTGAAATAGACGCCAGGTGGACAGGGGCTCATGAGCCGTTTGTTCTGGGGTGACAGCGGACCCTGCTTGCCAGCCGTGCACGAGCGTGAAATCCTCCCAATTTTCAGGTGCAGGGTTGTTGGAGGTCATGCTTTGGCCGGCAAGGGTAAGGTCGATATTCAGGGAAGCAGGAATCATTAAAGAACTAATATGGATCCATAAATAGAAACAGGGATCGATCAACATCAAAGAGGGATCAATCAAAAGTCCATTACGGATCATCACCAACAAATCCTTCTACGTTCTAAACGGAAAAGAAAGCAAGCAAGAGGCGGGCAAGTCAAGCAGGATCATCGGACGTGCGCGCATTTGCTGGAAGGCAGGGGGAACGGCTGGACTTTCTGTAGGCTCTGTCGAAGAGCTCCATTGCACAAGTTGAACGCACTGCGTTGAATGCAGTGTGCAGGCGACTTCGCGGAACCTTATCCTCACAACACAGACTGGTTGCTTGCATTACAAAAGTTTCTGCCATTTCACAGGCCTTAAAATCCAGCACCCCTTCCCCACTTGCGTAGGTATATAAAAAAAGTGTGTGTACATATATGTATATATATATATGTGTATATATATATATATGTATATATATGTGTATATATATATATGTATATATATATATATATGTATATATATATATATATATATGTTACCGCCCGAACCTCAACAAGGATCAATAACGCCAAGTATAAGGATGGCGGGAAGCAAGGAAAGCTTCAAGCTAAACCAATGTACAGATATTCCACTATTTCGGATTCACCGATAAGCCTAGTAAGCCCACCAAGTTTGAAGCCCTAACCCGCAAAACCCCAAAGCAGAAACCGCCAAATGCCTTCAAACATATCCCTTTCGCTTCACAACGTGGGTGGGGGCTCTGGCTGCGAACAAAGCCAAGCTGAAGCCAGCTGTGTTTTTGAGCCAATCCAACCAAACCATCTTTTGAAACATGTCCTTTTCGCTTGACAAGCAAGACACGTGCCGTGACAAACCAGACCAAAGCCAAAGCACATTTAAGAGCACTTGAAGGCAGAGTTGCTGTATCTGCATCTTGTGAAATGGTAACAATGCTGTAATTTATCGTCTCTCGAGCTTGCGAATGGGCAGGAATTCTGTATTTCATAGTATTGGAGCCTTCAGACAGGCAGAAGTGTTTTACCTTGCAATTTTCATGCCCAGGCTTAGATTTAAATGGCTACAGGTTTGGCTCGGGGCCTTCTGAGGCCAGGGGTAGGTTCGGTGTAGGGTGTAGGCTGTGCGGCATGGCGCTCAAACGTCCTGCTGAAAGTCCATCTTTTGAGCAGTATCGCGAGATGATGAGGGAAGAGATCCTTGATCCCTTACGGATTCAACTCAGTGCAGTTGAGGCTAAGGCTGATGAGAGTCTCAGAGGAGTGGCATCTCTGCAGGACCAGACGAGAACCCTTGATGGACGTTTGGGTGCTCTTGAGGCCCAGACCGCCGCACATGCTAAGAGCATTTCAGCCATTCAGGACAGACGGAGCACCGGCACAGACCGCTCCAACGGCTCTTTCCCCGGAGGCGACAGGGCATCATCCAACCTGAACTCTGCTCTAGATGTTTTGGGAGGCTTCAAGCGGGACACTCAGCGTCGTGAACTTGAGGCTAAAGCCGCAGAGATCATGACACATTTGGGGGCTATGCCCACTGTCAAGAAGATCTATGCTCCCGGCAAGCGCGCCTCAGTGGCCTACGTTCAGTTTCAGGAGGCAGCTGGGGGCACGGCAAGGGACAACCTGTGGGCTGCCTTCACGTCTTTCAAAGAGGAAAGCTACGAACACGCGGGCTCTCCCCTTTGGTTTGGACCGCACAAATCCCAGACTGAGAGACAGATTGCCTCCTTCACGGCAAGGGCACTCAGAACTGCGCGCCTTCTTGATGCAGATGCCGAGCATTTGGAGGGTGACTACAGGCAGGGCATAGCATGGCTTGGGTCACACCGTTTTGCAGGATTTTCCAGCAATCCCGATCTTCCGAATGTCTCCCTGCTGTCCCATGAGCTTGGAAAGACTGAATTTGAGGTCAAGCAGGCATGGATCAAGGCACAGAAGCGGCCCGCCACCGGGCAGTGAGTGCGTCGCTGGCCAGGCAACAACCAGACTGCATCGACTGGGCCTGATGAAGTGGCAAGGGTTTCCCTGTTGCTTTTCACATGGAATGTGGCAGGGGCCACCGCTGACACGGTTCAGGAATTCGTTTCTTCATTTTCGGAGGAGCCTCCCCGCCTTTTGCTTTTCCAGGAAGTGAGTTGCTCTCAATGCCCGGAAATGGGCGAGAGCTATTCGGACTGGTGGATCTTCACGTGCCACCCTGAACAGTCGCATACTTTTCGTGGCTTGCAGATCTACGCCAGTAAGTGCCGCTTTCGAGCTTTTTCCACACGAGGCTTTTTTCAGAATGGAATGTTTCTGTCTTTGACAGTCGGCTCAGATGACAAGGAGATTTTGATGTGCAACGTGCATCTTCCCCATGAGAACAATCCACGGCGGGACTTTGATGCCGCCCTTGCTGCTTTGACAGCCGCTCTCATGACCCATGCTTCTGATGCTAAGCCCGTGCTACTCGGTGGAGACTTCAATGCGGACTTCACTCAACAGTTCCAGGCTTCGGGGCATGGCGCTCAGGACGGCGTCCCTGACGTGCTCACAGTGCCCAGGAACTCTCGTGGCGAAACTCTCACACAGGAACTCTCTGGGCTGTCCTTGCGACAACATCTGCAGCAAATGCCGCTGCAGGCCACCAGAAACAGACGGGGGACCGACAGAGAGATTGGAGCGGCCATTGATTGGTTCTTCTCCAATACTGCAGCTGCTTGCCAGGCCATGCCCCAGGCGGAGTTGCTCGCTGAGTGTAATGAGATGATTCACACAGACCGCCGGCCCTTGCGGTTGGAGCTTCCAATGCGTGTGGCAACCCGCCGGCATGCAGCTGTGCCACCGGCCTTCAGGGCATCTTTCAGGAGTGCTCGAGCCTTCACAGTGCCGGAGCCCAGCCGCGAGGACTTCTCCTTTGCTGCGGCAACAGTGCTTCAAGCTCATCGTGAGGTCCAGGAGGCCTGTCCCACAGCTGAGGTGCCCCCAGACGCGATGTTCCACGACCTGCAACGCTGCTTTCTTCGGCACGCGGCCCCGTCGCCGAGACTTGGATATCGTGATGCAGCAGATATTCGACGGCTGTGCGAGGCACGCAACGTTGTACAGGATGCTGAACTTCGAGGGGCTCTCTCAAAGCGGATCATGGTACTAAGGAGGGATGCGAAGTGGAAATGGCGGGAAAATCTGGTCTCCATGGCCGCTGGAGGCTCCTGGAAGGCACTGCGGCAGCTAACTGGACTTCGGCCTCGTTCGGCCTTTTCCGTTGCCAGAGCGGTGCCGCGCGCGCTTCAGGACATACATGGTGATTGGGTACACTTCCCTTGCTGGGCCGATGCAGCTGCTGAGAGACTTCGGAGTGTCCTCCACACCGCCATGCCGGAGGGCCAAGTGCTGGACACCATGAGGAACCGCCTTGCTCAGTTACGTGGCCTGCAGGCCTTGCAGACCTTTCGGCCTGTTGCTGCTGCTGAGATCTCTGCGGCCATCACTGGGACACACACTGGCAAAAGTATGGGAACAGACGGGCTGACAAATGAGGTCTTCCTGTCACTCACACATGTGGCTGTGGAGCGGCTAAGCGATTGGTTTTCCCGCGTTCTCAGTGGCAGACTCCCGTGGCCGGAGGTGTGGACGCTCGCTGATGTGCTCATGCTACCTAAGAAAGCCTTGCCATCGTCCATAAAGGAGTACCGCCCAATTGCCATCACGGCAGTGAGCTACAAGATCTTCATGCGCATCGTCACTAGACGACTTCAGGACCAGCTTGGGAGCCTCTTCTGTGGAGGGCAAGCGGCTGGCAGGCGAGGTGGCCAGGTCTCGGAGGTCGTTAGCCTGGTCGATTGCTTCCTCTGTAGGGCACGCGAGTGGTCGCACCCGGCGTACGTCCTGGGGTTGGATGTTGAGGCTGCTTTTGACTCGTTGGAGTGGACAGCGATTCTCGAGCTTTTTAGGCGACGGCCTGTCTCAGCGGAGGTGGAGATGGCTGTGCTGCAGTCTCTGATGGGGCAACGACTGACCACCAGCATCTATGGCAACACTGCCGCTACCCTGACCTTCCCCACACGTGGCGTGCGCCAAGGAGCACCAGAGAGCTCAGTAATGTTCAGCGCAGTCATTGACATGATTTTGCAAGATGTGCGGGATGACTTGTACGTTGGCCTGGACATGACCATTTTCTTTGTCGGCGACCCTACTAGTCCTCGAACAGCCGCGTGGGTTGACGACATATACCTCTTGTCCGGCACGCGTGCTGGCATACAAGATGCGGTGCGTGCAGCTGCGGAGCAGCTCTCGCTGCGAAGAAGTGCACTTTCATCATAAACGGGTGGTCTCGCACAGGGCCAGTACAGATACAGGGCTGCAGCGTGGCTCCTGTTGCTTCAGAGGAGCCCGTGCGTGTTCTGGGGGTCTGGATCTCTGGCAACCAAGGAACGCATGCTCGCCGACCTATCGCGCAAGGTCGAGCCTGGGGGGTTTTTGCTAGCTTGAAGCATGTGCTGGCCTGCCGCGGTGTCAGCCTGGAAAGCCGTGCTAGACTGCTGAATGCCAAAGTGGGAGCGGTTCTGCTATGGGCGGGAGCAGTCTGGCGTCCCAGTCAGGCAGCAGCTGAAGCGGTGTGCGGCA